CCAGGAGTCTTCAGAGTCCACTCCAGTCCGGGAGCCCTCGGAGTCCACTTTAGAGCCCGCTGCCAACCCGGAGGCCGTTCCGGCGCCACCTAAGCTCCTTGCCCTGCCAGCTCCGCCCAAGCTCCTAGCCCTGCCGGTCCCAATCAAGCTCTTTGCCCGACCAGCACCACCCAAACTCCTTGGCCTGCTGGCTTTGTTACATGGTATGAACTCCATTACCAATAGTTCTTTGCCCAGTCTTCTCTGTATTGATTATCATCAGCATACTCATTAGCTCATCACTATTTATACCATGCTCACTTTTTCTTTTGTTGCTGCAGTATTGGACCGTTACGTTGTGTTTCTGTTACCCTGTCCTTGGATTACTTTTTGCCTGTTGCTTTGTTTTGGATTATTGTTTGATACCACTATTAAAACTGCACTTGGATCTATTTTGTTCTCCCAGAGTCATTCCGTGACACAGTAACTATGATTTTTGCCTCAAACTCCTAATTTGCTGCTTATTAATAGTTAATATTAAGTAGGTAAGTTTAGGTGTTGGGTAGGATTAGGAATGTAGAACATGTGCTTTATAAATACTAATAAACAACCAGTATGTTAATAAGCAACTAGTTAATAGTGAGAACTGGTCCTATACTCAAGTGTTACTGTGAATTTTTAATAAACTTAAATCATTATTTTTTTTTATTATGATGATTATTATTATTATATACACTTCTGTAAGTGTGGGGTCAGTAAGATTTTTCATCACAGAATCCTGAAAATATGCATCAGTTTAAAAAAAATATTAGGTATTAAATTTAAAATTCTTTTACAAAACCTACCATTATAAGAATAAATTACATTTTAAAATAGAAAAGTTGTTTTAATATTTTGCAACATTACTGTTGTACTGTATTATTGATTAAATAAATGCAAAATGGCTTAGCATAAAATACTACTTTCAAAAAAAATTTTTAAATGTTGACCATAAGATTTTAAAGTGTGTGTGTGTGTGTGTGTGTGCGTGCATATATATATATATATATATATATATATACACATACACACAGCGGGTAAAATAAGCATTGAACACGTCACGTCACTTCTCAGTAAATATATTTCTAAAGGTGCTGTTGACATGACATTTTCACCAAATGTCGGTAACAAACCAAGTAATCCATACATACAAAGAAAACAAAAATATGTTCAGAAATTAAATTGTGTAATAAAATGGAAGGATCCAGGGAAAAAGTATTGAACACACTTACTGGAATGTATTTAAAGGGGTCATATGATGCGATTTCAAATTTTCCTTTCTCTTTGGAGTGTTACAAGGTCTTTGTGCATAAAGAAGATCTGTAAAGTTGCAAAGACTAAAGTCTCAAATCCAAAGAGATATTCTTTATAAAAGTTAAGAGTCAACCACGCCTACCTAAAACGGCTCTTTCTAACACGCCCCCACATATCTAGGTCACTATGTGGGAAGATTTGCATAACGCCGCCCAAACATTCACACAAAGAAAGAAGGCGTAACTTTTATTCTGTCTGTAGTATTGTTGCTGCCGCCATGTTGTGAATGCGCTGTGTGCTTCGTTGTGAAAGCAAAACTACTTTGTTTGGCCTTACAAAAGAGGACGATATCTGCGTCGTCATGCCTGGAGCTGATCCGTGCTGGTCGCTGAGGAAATACATCATCTTTGCGCTGTGGATCGCCGGATCGGCTTTCACCGTGGACAAAGCGGAGTCCAGTCCGGGGTCGTAAGATTTGGTTGCCGCAAGCCCTCCGGACGCTCCTTCCTCGAATCCGCCACCTCTGCTCACTCTAGCCCGCTGGCAGTTCTTCACTTTATCCCCTGGCCTCTGCTCACTCAAGGACGCCGTGTGTGACGCTGTGTTTCATTGTGAAAGCCATACTACTTTGTTTGACCTTCCAAAAATGGACACGACTAGAAATCAGTGGTTAATTTGTATTTACAACACGGTTCAAGAACACTTCAACCGAAATATTCAGATGTGTGCAGCACATTTTAAGGAAGACTGTTTCCTGATCCTGGAAGAGTAGACTACAATGCCGGCTGTTCTGACTCACAGACTGTAAGTACGGTTTTTATATTTTAAGAATTTGCCACTGATGACTCAAACGCGAGTTTTGAGCAGTGTAGTGTTTGTTGTTTGTCATTTCTCCGATCACAAATGCAGACATGATTTTATGTTTATGTGGCGTGATGCAATGCAACACGTAAAAAGACAGTATAAGTCATTATAATCCATAATTAT